CCCCGATGAAATCTGTTAAAGTTCTCTCTTCGGATCAATCGGTAGATTCACACGATCTACAACCAGCCTCTAATGACTGGCAACCCGTTACCTCAAACAAGTCACGAGGGAAGAAGAAAAAGAAAGGGAAAGTCAGTTCCCAGAACCAGCAACTACAAATGGAAAATAACGATACTAGTGAGAAGGGCCAAAGGGAGCAAAGACCTAATGAAGATACAATTATTGTAGGAGATTCCATTGTCAAAGGATTACGCAAAGACTTTTTAAGTCGGGCGGCTAAACGGGGCGTAACCGTGAGAAGTTTCCCTGGTGCTACAACCGCAGACATGGAGCATTTTCTACAACCAAGCTTGGCTACAAAACCGAAGGCGATAATCCTCCATGTCGGAACAAATGATCTGAAAAATTCATCAACTGCTCGGGATGTGGCAGAGAAAATCGTCGATCTAGGGAATATGATTGCTACAAACTCTCCTAACACTAGTGTAACCATTTCCGCAATCACACAAAGATTAGGCGAAGAATCGCTCACGAGGAAAGTAAAGGACTGCAAAAAAGTTTTAAAAACATTTTGTAATCAGAATGGCTGGGGCTTAGTCGAACACTTGAACATCGACGAAACATGTCTGAACAATTATAAAATCCATCTCAGCAAGAAAGATATTGCTATTTTAATTTAGCGAGTAATTTTGTAAATAATATACTTCACTGATACGATTCTTACTAGACAACTGTAGCGACACCTAACCTCACTATTACCTCTGGTGCCCGGATCAGGTCAACTCTAATGCCAAAGTGTCGTGGATTCAAAATGGCTAGTTTGAATATTGCAAGTCTTTTGAAACATATTGATGAACTTCGTGTTTTTCTAAATGATCAAAACATCGACGTTCTGGCCATAAATGAGACCAGGCTAAATGAAAGTATTTTCGATCGGAAGGTTAAGGTCTAGGGTTACGATATAATACGTCGTGACAGATCAACAAATGGTAGGTTAGGTGGTGGCGTATGTTTTTACACTCGTTCAAAAATAAGTTACTCGGTCCGCACAGATTTGGACAGTCAGCTCCTGGAAATAATATCAATTGAAATTCGTAAAGATAACTCAAAACCCTTAGTTATTACTTCATGGTACAGACCCCCAAATTCACCTCATGAGCTCTTCGCACACGTTAACACATTATTAGGTAAATTAGATTCTGAAAACATAGAACATTTTCTAATGTGGGATCTAAATTGTGACTTGTAATCCAAAGACAATGTTAATGTGAAAGCTCTTCTAAACATAACAGACATTTATGGATTGGATCAACAAATTAACGAACCCACCCGAATTACACCTACTACGAGTACATTAATTGATCTGATTTTTAAAAATCGGCCAGAGAATGTGTATTGTTTGGGGGTCGGTCTCATGTCGCCAGAAGTGACCACAGTGTAGTTTATGCATATCGAAAAATCTCAATTCCCACTCTCTCCAAGGGAGTTAACTTGATAACATATAGACAGTTTAAACATTTTAATAGCGCAAATTTTTATGCGGATATCTTAGCCCAACCTTGGGATGACATAAGGCAACTGTATGATCCTAATGATATGTGGAAGAAGTGAAAAGAAATATTCCTGAATGTGTGTGAAAAGCATGCACCGATGAAGACCAAACGGACACGAGATTCTAAATCCCCATGGATAACCACTATTTTGAAAAAGCGGATGAATTTCAGAGACCTCCTCAAAAGAAAGGATATCAAGACAAAAGACCCACTTATTTTTGGAACCAATTTCGAATGGTTAAAAATCAAGTGAACTGGGAAGTTAATAGCGCGAAAAAAGCCTATTATGAAAATGCCCTCAACAATTGTTGTGGGGATCAAAGGAAAACATGGAAAACAATCAATGAACTGACCTCGCGAAAGTCCATTAAAACTGTTATTAATGAGATGGAATATAATGGGGTAANTTTGAATTTTTATTATCAAATTATTATTGTAGTTAGATAGATAGGTTTCTAGTATAGAATTAACTAAATCAACTGATGGAAAACCGTGTATAAATAAAGTTATCCTATCCTATCCTATCCATCTACCGAGCCGCAATGGGTCTTCGTTTACGTAGGTGGTCCGCGTCTTCGTAATGGATCTTCGTTTTCGTACGGGTTTTAGGTCTCCGATTTCGGAGTCTTCGTTTTCGCTAATACCCAATTTGGTCGCTTTGTAGGAAGCTTACCCACATTAAGTAATATTATCTGCTTTACCTTACAAACGGAATAATTTGTTGTCATTTTTATTTAAAGGATAAGTCTCAGCTTGAAAAACAAACTTCTCGATCGCAAGCCATGCATGTTTATATTTGCAACCGCCTCCCGGTTAGCTCAATGGATAGAGCGCTGGACTGTTGTGCGAGAGGTCGAGGGTTCAATTCCCGGCCGGACCAACACCCAGTCTTAAAATAATTGAGAAGAATATGCTACCTTTCTATAACACCAAGAAATGGTTTGATATTCTAGTCGTCTTTGATAGGGACGAATAAATGAAGGTCCTATCTCCTAAAGGGTTAGGGGTCAGGAGACGTTAATTTTCCACGCACGAGATTACTGTGTGATGGATGTCCTCCCCTGGAGTGGGATGGGTGGGATTTATTGGGTGGACTACTCGCATGGTTCGCATATGTTCCGTTCTAGTCCTACCCTACTGCGGTAATGCAGTGAAAATGGTTAGAACTGAATGTATGTCATTGCCGGCCTAATGGATGGATTATAGAACATTGGCACTGAGCACAAAACAGTAACAAAATTTCATCAGAATTTCAATTGGAATCAGGCAAATTGACGGAGAACAGTAAACCTTCTCAGTAACGCATGTCACTTGAATGACCGGACTAACGAGAAATAGACAACCTCGGTGGAAATGAAGCACTTAAAATGGAATGCTAGTATGATCTGCACCAGACCCCATAGTTTGGAAGAGAAAGACCGATTGTTCCATGACAGCTAGTGCTAACTCCTTTCCGTATGCATGGAAAATCAAATCAAATTTCATCCCTTCCTGCACCAGAAACTATTCATGTCACTACACGGGTGGTGATAATTGCAAAGAGCCATAAGAAGGTTTAGGAGTGTAAATTCCCCCTGGAGCCCTATGTCGTCCTCCAGTATAAGAGGGAGATAGGTCACTTGCTGTAGGATGGGAGGGGAGGAGTAGTTCAATTTTTTAAAACAACAATTCCACTGAATGAGTACACTTAACTCTTTAACTAGATATCTAGGACTCAGTTAAAAAAAAGTTAAAAATATTTAAATATGCAAGTAGGATTCAAGTTGCTTATTTCAATTAAAAAAAGAAAAATGCTTCTCCTCTTTCAAACAATAACAATAACAATAACATTTATTATTTGTATTGTGCCTTTTCTATAAAATATTTCAAATCCAGTTTTATAGTATCTGTTGTGGCAGTTTTGATCTTGAATCATTTTGACTTTAATATTACAATTAGTTACATTTTTGTATTATTGAAACTTTCGGTTTTATTGATTCATATGATGATATTATTGATTCATATGATGATATTAAGTGGAAATTGCTTTGGTTTTAATCAAAGGCATTGCAGAGCACCATTCAGCCCCAGAAATGGGTGCTATATAAATTCATGTATTGTATTGTACATGTTGCCCATGGTGCTACTACAAACAAGGCTGATATGAAAAAAAAAAAACCTAGAACAACAATTCCATAATTTCTGTGCAAAAATTTCATTTTTCTTTACTATAAAACCTTGGTATCAGTGAGCTTTTCAAAGTTTAACCTTATTACACCCTAAGAGTGGCTACCAACTAATTCACCTTACATTATCACAGCTGAATCAGATATTAAGATACCTGGAAGGTTCACCAATATATGAAGCTCTTGATTGTTAGACAAATTCTCCTTGTCAAGGTGTTATAAGTTAAGTTACCCATCAGTGATCTAAAAAACTGGGTGCACACCAGAGAAACTAAAAGGGATTGTAAAATCGTTATCATAATCTCTCATAATTACAAATTGAATACAGAAATAACAAAAAGTGTGGAACCAAGTCAAATAAAAATTAAAGCTGAGGTCAAATAATTCACATTAATTTCCTTGTCATTCACCTCAAATTCCTCTTTACAGGCCTTCATTTTTATTGACAAAAAGTTTCCCAAAGTAAGACCTAACTCAAACTTCAAAGCCTAAACCAACTTTAAAATTTAATATGCCTTTGAGCTCTAAATGGTTGACTTGACATGAACTTTGAACTCAACTCTTGTTTCAAACATAGACAAATTTCCCAAAGTTTCATTGCCTCACTACGCACTTGTTGTCCTGATGGCATAGCCATATGTTCACTACAAAATGATCAGCAGGTTTTTCTGTAAAAGCTTGGTGGAGGTGAAGTACCAGAAATGAGATGCTAGAAAGATACACCATTTAAAATTTTCCCTTAATCTAGCTTGAATCATTCCATAACAACAGTTCCAGATAATTCAAGGGTTTACGTCCCTTAAGATATGTAAAAGACTATAGAGTCACAAGTGCTGTTTCATAAATTCTATAATCAGGTTGAAGTACATGTACAACAATTCATTGCCCTTACACAGGTGGTGCTGATGCTACTGCACCATATGAAGGTTTGGGAGTGTAAACTCTCTCTGCTGTTCCCTGTGGTTCTTCTGCATAAGGGGGAGGATGTTCACTTGCTGTGCTTGGTCCAGGGTTGTAGGGTGGGGGCCTGTTTGTCTGACGTTGCTCATACTGTGGAGGGGGGTAGTGTGGGTAGCCTTGTTGGTAAGGTAGCGTGGGGTAAGGTTGGGTACTCTGTGGTGCAGATCTTACTGTAGCCGTAGTCGTTGTTACTCTCTGCCCAACGATAACTCTGCCGCGATGAAGACTTCTTTGACGGCGACAAACGTAAAAAATACACATAGCGATAATGAAGATCACACCAAGTGATCCAAACATTGAACCAAGTATTATAGCGGCCCAATCATAGCAATCGCCATACTGACAAAATCCCTCACAACAGCTGAGATTGGAGTCGCCACAATCAGAGTCGGAATTACAGAAGGATCCATCGCAGTCGAAGACGTCTTTACAAACGCTACCGCAGCAACTTTCCGCTTAGACGCAGTCGGACGGAGAAGTGCAACTTTGTCCAACACAAGAAGAACCGGAAATACACTGATTGTTGCAGCAAACTTGGTTGGGTTCACAATCACTCGTATATGAGCACCAAGCATGAGTCACTGCAACAAAGCAATGACTAAAGACAATAAATGTGAAATATGCTTTCATCATACCTTAAAAGTGAGGTATTTTCTCACTGAACAAACTCTGAACTACTATTTCCTCCTCGCTTTGCCGATTGCCAACGCAAAATATCTCTATCCCACAATTCCAAAGACACTCTTGTTTACATTTTGACGTCATTACAAAGCGGATTTTAGGCTTGGACGTCATCGCAAAAACAAGTTTTGTCGTGACATCACTTAGTGCTTCAGTTTCGTGAGTCCCCCTTCCTCCCTCCCCCATATAAGAAAATTTGTTAAAAAGGAGGGGAAACCGCATTGTATGTTGGGCGGAAGCTATTTTTAAAATTTGTTTTTCGCATTTAAAAAGTACTGCCAGACAAGCTGTCCTCCGCTCACTCTTCTCTTACTCTCAATTTGCAACTCTGGCGTGACATTTGACCAAGTGTTGTCACGTTGCAAGATCATATTAAATGTGAGGTCTTTGAGAGTTCTGCTACTGCATGTGTCTCATCTACGTCGCTTCGTGCGCAGCTTACGCACATAAAGTAATGTTATCTGCTTTACCTTACCAATGGAATAATTTGTGGTCATTTTTATTTATAGGATAAACCTCAGCTTGAAAAACAAACTGCGCGATCGCAAGCCATGTTGTTATCTGTAAATGTATGTCACTACTCTTATGGATGAATTATAAAACATTGATACTGAGCACAAAATTGTAAACAAAATTTCATAGAATCAGGAAAATTGATTTATACAGCGAAGAACGGTGTGCCTTCTCAGTAACGCATGTCACTTCAATAGCCGGCCTTGCTAGAATGAATGAATGAATGAATGGATGAATGAATGAATGAATGAAATGTCTTTATTTCGCTCGTTAAAATGCATGACAAACGTTACAGAGAGTCAAGGTATATAGATCATTTACAATAATTATGTAAAATCAAATAAAACATAGGATATATTATGTTACTCAGCCAAGTTTTATTTAAACCTTATTCTATTAAAATAGCAATTCTTAGAACGTTCAGTAGTAATCCGTGGTCAGTTGGCTTGTTTGTGATCTTAACGTCTTGGATGACTCTTTGACTTTGGACAGAAGGGCATATAATGGATGGTTAACATTGTTCCTAATTTTGGTGAACAACCTGTGATCGCATATCTCTAAAAGGTCATAGATATTAATTAACTCAGAAGTGTAACGTCGTTTATTGCACCTTTTTAAGAAGCATTTTACGGTGTTTAGATCTGCCTGGCTGGCTCCGTATACTGGAAGTGTGTAAGCGATCTTTGGCAAAACAATAGCCTTAAAGAGATGATCTATCTCTACTTGCGTGTATCCCTCTTATCTTAGTGATCTTAAAATGTACAAACACTTGTTAGCTTCCCAAAGCTTTCCCTTAACATGATATGAAAACTTACAGTCGTTTTGTAATGTGACACCTAATAGAGTGAAACTGTCATGCTGTTCTATGCCACATAGAGGCGGGAATTTATGTATAACATCTTTTTTAGTCATACAGAGTTCTTTACATTTGCTTGTGTTACAACTCATACCATTAACCTCCGTCCACTCCAAAAAAAAATGCATTCAGTGCCTTTTGTGATTCATCTACACTATTCTTACGCACAGTCACAACAATGGAAGTGTCGTCTGCATACTTAATAAGATCGCTATCCTGACAGCACTGAGCGACGTCAAGATCGTTTAAGAACAGGTTAAACAAATACGGGCCGCTTACGCTTCCCTTGGTAGCACTGCGGTTGACATCCTTCCAATCACAAACACGTGACGCACTTTAAGTGGAAAGCTAGCATAATCTACACTAGACCACACACTTTATAGAGAAGGATTGTTGTATGATAGTTGGAACTAACTCTTTTCCATGTCTACGGCAAGTCAAATATACATACATTTTGTGTCACATGTTAAACGGAAATAAAGTCTTTTGATGGATTTTAGGGGTTCTAGAATTTCGACTGCCAGTTCATCCATTCCAACACAAAAAACAATTAGTTATGTCACTAAACGGGTGGTGGTAATTGCACAGAGCCATAAGATGGTTGAGGAGTGTAAATTCTACTTGAAACCCCATGTGGTCCTCCAGTATAGGGGGGAGGTTGTTCACTTGCTGTGCTTGGTTCAGGGTTGTAGGGTGGAGGCCTGTTTGTTTGATGCTGCTCATACTGTGGAGGGGGGAGGTATGGGTAACCCTGTTGGTAAGCGGGTGGGTTCTCTCTGGGGTAGGGTGAGCTGCTCTGTGTCGCAGATCTTATTGTAGTGGTCGTTGTCACTCTTTGGCCAACCATTACTCTTCCGAGATCAAGCGCTCTTCGACGACGAAAAGCAAAGGAAATGCACATGAGGAACATGAAAAGTATGACTAGTGATCCAAATATTAAGCCGAAGAATGCTGCAGTGTCATCGCAGTCGTCATATTGACAAGCTCCATCACAACAGTTGAGATTAAACTTATGGCAGTCGCTGTCGGTATTACAAGGGAGCCCATAGCAGTCACTTTCATATCTACATACATTGCTGCAACAACTTTCCCCACCATAGCCACAATCGTTGTCGGTATTACAGGAGGACCCCTCGCAGTCGCTGCCATATCTACATAAGTTGCTGCAACAACTTTCCCCGCTGCCACAGTCTGACTGAGAAGTGCAACTCCATCCGACACAAGAAGAGCCGAACTGACATTGATGGTTGCAACAAGTGTAGTTAGATTGACATTCACTCTGGTACGAACACCAACAATGACTCACAGCAAGAAAGGAATGAAAAACCAAGACAAAAAAAGCGAAAGATGATTTAACCATGCCTCAGAAATTCCGTATTCTGCTTTTAGAAGATCGCAATGTAGTTGTCTGCTTTCGGCATCACAAGATGTATCGATAACGTTGACTTTTCCGGTCACGTGAATACACAGAAACAGAAGCTCACGCAACTCCTCTTATAAGCATGAAAAGTTGCGTTACATTGGTCAATGCAGCTGTGCATGCGCTCTAGTTGTCTGTTATTTACTTGTAATGCCAGCGTTTTTACACGCGTGAAAATTAGTGCTGTTTAAACCCTTAAATTTTCTGAGTGCTAATTTTTTTCCGGATGTTTCCATTTTGCTACGAAAAAAAATTGACACTCAGAAACATCTAAGGGTTTAAGCAGCACTGGTTTCAGTTTTACTGAACTGGATTAAGACCAAAAATAATATATCACATTGCATCAGAGTTGAAAGCCGTGTTTCATGATAGAATGTTTAGGAGGTATCACTCGGTTTCCAGGGGAAAATGGTCAATTCTCGCCAATTTATTACGAAGAAGGGATTAAAGAAAATTGACTGCTAAAGAGCGTTGGGGGCATGGGAGGGGATCCGAGGTGAATCTTACCCAGAATTCTCTAGCCCTTCCTTCTACCATTCCCAGCTCATAGCGGACATTTTGTTTTGAAATGATATCGTTTTATTAGTCTCAAGTAATAATGATGTAAGAGGCTTTCAACAGTTCTGACACAACAATTTCCAGGCATTCATAACGGAAATGACCACAGGCTTCTGTGTCTCTCGGCTCGTCTGCCCCTCGCCGTAAATATTAAGTATGCGCGTAATTCTCCCTCCCCCCCCCCMCCCCCGTGAAAGTGATTTCATTCTGTGCGCCTACTACACAATCGTGACCATTACAACACAAACAGACAAAACAAAACCAAAGGCAACAAAGAAAACCGATCCCGACTATAGCTACGCCAACTCCAAGTGCATCCCTCGTTGAAATACAGGATTGGACCATACGCACGTACCATAGCAATCTCTTTTACCTTCAAAGCATTTGCATGCAAACGCATGGCAATGTCCAATTACGACAATGTTCACCTAAGCTGCATTGTAACTGAGACCGACGATGATAACCAACATTCACATTCACACAGGTTATATTGCCGTTGGAACTGTCGTTTAAGGTTTCACTGCCGCCCCGCAGCAAGCTTCGCGAATAGAGGAATTCCTCTATTCGATCCGAAGAAGGGCTAGCACTCGAAACGTTAGCTTTTGTAATCGTTACGGTGGCCAATTTACCATTTCAACTTTGTTGATATATCCAAATTATTTCGTTACCCCCACCGACGCAGCCCTANGCTGGAATTTTTAAGTCTTTACTTCCTCGCCGCGTCAAATAATCGGTGGAACAAGTGAGGCAGCAAACTTGATCATCTTGGCAGCCAGGTTGGCAATTTAGACCCTGAAGATTGTCGCTCTCGATCAGAATGGAAAAGCGATCAGTTGCGAAAAGCGTCGATAATAATGGCAACGCGTTTGATTTTAACGATACGAGCAGAGGATTAAAAAGTGCTGTATTCATCTTCGCCATTAGTTACTTTGTTTGCAGGGGGATCATCAGTCAGGAACATACCGATATACATTATTCTGGGCATGTACAGTCTGACGTCGACAGCCACTAGGGTCTAATTTTTACACAGTTCAACTTTGTTGCATGCGTGAAGCTTGCGACTTGTTAAACACATTAACTGATTCACAAAGTTTAAGATCGTTAGATACGGAATTCCATAAAGTAACTGCTCTATAGAAAAAAGTCCTATGGCCACTTGCTGTTCTAAAGCGAGGTATGTTAAGCATTTGAGAACTTCGTGTTCTACGATTTGTGACATCACACCGTCTAATGAATTGTGTAGATAAATATCCAGGAGCACATCCAGTTAAACACTTAAATGACATTACGGCATCACGGTAGTAAAGATGCTCCTTCACTGGCAGCCAGAGTAGTTCCTTTAAAGTTGAAGACATGTGATCGTATTTCCTTCTTCCACTTACTATGCGGCAGGCAAAATTCTGAACTGTCTGTAACATTTTTAAATTTGTTTGAGAAGTATTACTCCAGAAACATGAGCAATAAAATAGTTTACTGAAAACAAGTGAGTTTATAATAATAATTAAGGACTGTTTGTCGAAAGAGTGCTTAACTCTATTGATCTGAGCTAAACGTGACATGCACGAAGAAACTGTTTCTAGAGTATGATTTCCGAAAGTTAAGTTTGGATCCATAATTACTCCGAGGTCTTAAGCGGTTGTTGCTGGTACAAGATCTATCCCGAAAAGGGACAGCTTAAAATCATCATTCACTTTTGCAATGTTTTGTCTGCTTCCAAAGATCATTAGTTTCGTCTTGTCTGGGTTCAAAAGTAGGTGGTTATTAAAGCACCAGTCCTGTATTTTAAGCAGATTCTGATTTATTTTATCTCTGGCCCCTCTCTCCTCGTAGAGTGCAAAGGATAACAGAAGTTTGGTATAACCAACTGATTATGAAAAATGGGTAACATCCAAAGAAAGCAGGGCTAGGGAAAGGTCTGCAAATGTACGAAATGTGAAGAGAAAGGAACAGAGGGAATGCATAGCAGTCATAGCATAAATTGCTCAATGACTGAGTTAATCAGCTCTTGTCAGGCTGAAAATATGTGACGGATGGTCATGAGGTTTTAGGACCTCAAGCCAAACATTCCACTGTCAAGATCTTCAATTATGACAATGTGTACATAAATTTGGCATCTTTCTTAGCTGATTACGTGTATCCAACTCCTCTGTAGTTTCTTTTCCTAATAAGCCTAATAGCTGGAAGGGGAATTGAGAGCCGTTGCGTTTTTGAAAGCAGAAGAAAATTGGGGAGAATGAAGTTGATGAAGAAGAGTAAGTTTTAGTCCTGGCTTAGGGGGTATGATAATCCCACCAGCTCCAAAACAAAACAAAACTAATCAAAAACCAAAACCTGGCAGTAGCCTTCTACTTAATCAGCTTTTAATATATTATTATTCTTAATTCACACATGTCTGCTATAAATATTGGAATTAAAAGGTCTCCTGCAATCCCCTCCAAATGTCATCAGGGCTCGACACTAACGGTAGTCCACTAGCCACAGGACTAGTAGAGATTCAGTTTTGGCTAGCGGTTTTTGATTTCCACTAACCAGTTTGGCTAGTAATCAAACTGAAATTGTCGTAACATCTAAGATGTCACTAGCCATTTGGCTAGTAAGTTGAAAAGTTAGTGTCTAGCACTGGTTATGATTATTTATTACCCTGGTCATCCATGAAATCCCTTGTAAGTTTAGCATGTGCACAGTATGCTGTTGTGTTTGACCAAGTTTTTCAAATTCAAAATTAGCCATAACTTAATTTATTTGCCATGGCAACAAAAACTTTTTTTTCACTTTTAGTGTTCGCCCAACAAAAGGATTTGCACCAATCAGGTCTTAAAAACCCAGTATTTGCTTCCTGTAAATCTCTCAGTTAGAGGTCCAGAATGGCTTTTTGAATTGTTTATTTCTTGAGCTTCACACTTAAGTCAAGATCCAAATAATTTCAAGATTCAAACAGTACTATCAAGAAATAAGACAAAACAAACTGTTTTTTTTTGGCTCTAAGCTGCCCTCTGCTTACTTTAGATTTCAAATGGCTTTTCCTTGTACAGTCTATGGGACTTTCAAGAGACAAGCCAAGGACCTCGAAGACATTCAATTTTTTAACTGTCTTCCATACAGACGTCAAGAACCTCAGCCCTAAAAGTTTTGGTAACAACCATCAAAACATAAAATCCTAAAGGACTACTACAGCTAGAACCTTTAAAAAGAAATTTTAAAAGGTCAAAAATTCTGAGGCTGCTTTCAGGAAAAAAATCCAAATTGTTTGTGAATTAATAATATACATGAAAAAATTTCTTAGTTCTGATTGGTTAAGATGAATGCAGTTTTCAGTTAATTCAGTGCAAAAGAGTTAATTCAGTGCAGAAGAGGGTTAATTCAGTGCAAAGAAGGAAACAAACCAGATATTCTGATTGGTCACAACAATTGGTCAATGTCCATGTCAAGGTCAATGTCAAGGCCAATTTCAAGGTCAATGTCAACTCAATGTCACTTGCAGGGTTTGAATAAATTATTTTTGCATGTGATGCACGCGCTTTTCTTCTGCATAGTTATGAGAAGCTACCTCGTATTTTTTCATGTACATTATTAATAGATAATCACATGATTTTCTCGTGCAATTTGGAATAAATAAGCACTTATAAATTTTTTCAAAGACCACAAATTGCACTAGCCCTACGGGCTCATGCAGTTTTGTTAGTCTTTGAAAAAATTTACTTGTGC